AGTATGGAAATCAAGTTACGAAACAATATATCCTAACCGGTCAGAAGTGTCCGAACATATGGTTGAAACTGGACATAAAATAAAATGATTCAAACTAGTAGGTTTTCTGATTATGGTATGTCTGTGGTTAAAAAAAAGATAAGAGGCTATTTACATTAATAGCTTAGGAAATACATTAAATGTGAGAAACGGTGGTAGAAAGTTGAGTAGGAACTACTTATGCTTGATTGATAGATTGAAAGAGAGAGGGTTTTGAGCCGCCGTCAAAAAAAGGTGACTAAATTTGTCTGCTCAGTGATGGTTCTAATTTCACTCACATTCTTCCAAAATGTTAGAGTAAGCTCGTCAATCAAACCAGACATGTCAGATTACGCAACCCAAGTCTTGCCTTTCCTTAGAAGGTTAAACGTTAATGGCCCTAGACTGAAAGGTTAGGATATATGGTTTCCTAACTTGATTAATATACTTACAAGATCATATCTCATTATCTCAACCATACTTGTTTACGGACCTACGCAGTCTCAGTCAAGGTTTTCTCTTGGAACATTAGGTATTGAGGATCAGGACCTAAGATTAAAACTTTGACAATTCTGATTTAGGAACCGTATTGCATATAAACGCTAACACGCACAAATACACAGACTCACACAATCGAACAAGAATAACAGGACCATTATGAAAAAAAATTAAGCAAACCACTCTATATCGATCTAGCTAGGTGTTTAATTTTCATTTAGCTCAATTGAGTCTATATAAGAAGTAAGATAGAGCCGGATAGTGTTTTTGGCCTAGTGCTAATGTGAGACTTACAAGAATGAAACCCAGCTCTGATGATGTCCATTATATGATGGACGAAAACTCAGCACGTTTTCACCAGAAACGAGGCAGGAAGTCTTGTGGACTCCATCAAAATGAATATCGTATAAAAGCCAAACGGCTGCAGTACAACGAGACTCATCAGTCCTCATCTAGTAAGATCGACCAATGAATCTCTTCTTCATTCACTTTAATGCGAACTAAAAGTTCCCCTAATAATAATTTAGGAACTCAAAGTGCCTCCTGAATTAAACCTTCCTCGAATTGAGCCATGTAATTATTCGCTAAAATTGATGCCAAACACGATCCCATAGCTAAACCTCGTGTTTGTTCGAACAGTTTACCAGTAAATGTGAAATATGTATAGTATATCGCTAGTTGGTCAGTATCATTTTTGCCCCTTTACTTAATATCGCGCTCATTAAAGTCTCGCGTGTTGGTCTAGTGTAGGATGCAAAGCATGTATGGCATCATCTACAGGGATGTTAGTGTACATAGACTGAATATCAAAACTTACCAACAAATCCCCACTTTCTATCTCCTACTCTGCAACTAAGTTAACCAATCAATAGGAATTCTTGACTGAAGCCTTCTACATCTGGGAGATTTGCATTAACTGGTTACAAATAAATCGAGTTGTTTTATGCATCACGCTTCCATTGTTGTTTACGAAAAACCTTCAATGTAGACTCATAAGTTGCCTGTAGCGTTGAGCAACAAACGGGGAACTGGAGAAGTGGAAAATAAGCACGTTTCTTCAACGAGATGCTATGCCTCAAAATGCATATGGTCTGCCCAAAATACATAAAGATGGAGTTTCTATGTGGAAGAGACCTGTAGACCCATGCATAAGAGGTTATCCGAATACAAAACAACCTGCAAGAGTATATTGGTCCCAAAATCGAAATTGGCCCAACACATGGCTCGCACAGGACATTAGATAGATTGGTCTAATGCCAAACGCTTAGCTGGATATGCACTCATTTCACGCTTTATCTGTAGCCACTTCAAGTGTCATCCGCAGCCACTTAACTTAACTTATGAGCAAGTATAGAGGCAAAGCATAGGAGATTCAACCAAAACATGAGATTCATAAGTGGACCAAATTGGACTATAAGAAGGAAGTAGGTTTGAAGCCGGCCACCTCTCGCCTTCGTGCTTTTGGTGAATTATCGTTAACCATGATGTTCTACTTTGAAGATGTCCATCACATGACGGACAAAAGCTCAGCAAAGATTAATCGGGGTCGCAGAGCTGTGCGCCGAGGACCTATTCGCACAAATCTACAACCACAGCTCCAAAGCAAACACCCCCACAGCCTCAGGTGGAAACAACTTATGAATCGCTTCCACTCGCCTCTTCAAACGAAATGTAGGGTAAGCCAACATCAATCTAGTAATGGGTTCTACGAAACCCAGTTTTTCTACAAAAGTAAAATGATCCTTTCACGTTTACCCTATCTGTGCCATGGAAATATCCACAGGACAAATAATCAGGTTTGATAAAGGTTATCATGTGTTTCTCTATTCTTTTTAATTATTAAAGTGTCAGTTAAAATCAGCATTATAAATCTATGTCAAATATCATAAGATTTGTTTTTAAAAACTAGTTAAATAAGAGGCGACTCCAATTTATAGGGGCTGCAAGTTTCCACAAATTTGAGAAAATCCATATTAAGAAACAGTAAAAGCTTTTGGATAGTATAAATCAGAATAGTGCAAATATTAATATTGTCCTATTTACTATGGTCGCCTTAGAGCGTAGAAGTGCTGATTGGAAAAAAGAAAAAACTTACTGTACAAAGCCATGGCAGAATGAGCTGGCCCACATAAACAGAAGTCTCTCGGCTAGGAGTTGGCACAGCTCGAGCAACAAGCTGTCTAGGGACGTTGGTGGATGTTCCCAAGTTGCTGATAGGTGCAATATGAGCCCCGGTAAGAGGCTCATCTGTCTGAAATTAGATTATTGGAAAAGGAAGAAACAATGGATAGAAATAGGAGACAATGGGAAGTATAAAAAAGTTAATGAGGTCCTTAAAAAATAAAATTAGAAGCTGCTATCTGCTCGGGATAAGAACAACACAGTAGGACATGTCATTTTTAGCTTCGATTTAAAACTATATGGCAATAGTAAAAAAATTGCCCGATAATCCGGAAGCAAAAGAGCCAATTGCATGTACGATATTGAAATATTGATGTCATATCCTAATATGACTAGCAAAATATGTCCTATATTAGCTTTGAATAACCCTCTCGCTATTAAAATGATGTATAATGGCTATAGAAGAAATAAGCATATTGCTTTCCAAAATACAATGGATCGAAACTAGATAAAACATCCAGTAAAAAAGGAGAAACCGAGCA